TTGTTAACGGTGACTAGGAAGCAGAGGCGTGAGACGGTCTATCTTTGCCCACGTTCTCTACGGCTGCACCCCTGAACTTCTGCGTGGACCTCCCTTCGTCTCGGTGCCACTGGTCTGTTGTCCAGGAGATCATCGGCCTCTACGTAGTAAGTACTGGGGTGTCCCCGTCGATGAGTGTGAACTCAGGTTCAGGAACGAGGAGGTAAGACGACTACTGTTTTAGACGGTGGACCCACTAGGGGTATTGGATACCGATTGTGCGGTAGGCCCATAAGGGGTTTGAATTGGAATTGTGTATGGAATTGGCCCCCTCCAGGGAGGGAAGGAGCAAAGGCGCACCGCTCATAATTAGACGCCCTGTAGTCAGCCCGTCTAATCTTGGTATGGAGTCAGGCTGGGTCTTGGTTGAATGTATATAGCCCAAGCCGGACACTGGTGTCTTGTCTAGACTAGCGTATCTAGGGTGTACATTTCGGAGACTAAGCAGACTCTGGTGTACATTATCGTTTGCTAGTTCTCAACCTATCTTGGCAAAGTGGGAAGGCGTGTAAATTTGGAACACACTAGACTATTGATAGAGTAGATAGACTAAAAGGGTATTGTTGTAAATTCCGCCCTCTAGTTCGCTATATGTGGTGCTTGGGCAGCAACGGCTAACCAAAACGGATGTAAATAGTTTAAAGGACCACTATAGTGCCAGGAAAACATATTCGTTTTCCTGGCACTATAGTGCCCTGAGGGTGCCCCCACCCTCAGGGTCCCCCTCCCGCCCGGCTCTGGAAAGGGGAAAGGGTTAAAAACTTACCTTTTTCCAGCGCTGGGCGGGGAGCTCTCTGCTTCCTCTCCTCCTCTTCTCCTCCTCCTGACCGAATAAAGACGCTTCTATAACGCTAGAGGCAAGCTCACTGTGAAAATCACAGTGAGAAGCACGCAAGCGCCTCTAGTGGCTGTCAATGAGACAGCCACTAGAGGATTAGGGGGAAGGCTTAACCCATTCATAAACATAGCAGTTTCTCTGAAACTGCTATGTTTATGAAAAAATGGGTTAACCCTAGCTGGACCTGGCACCCAGACCACTTCATTAAGCTGAAGTGGTCTGGGTGCCTAGAGTGGTCCTTTAAGGTAGTCCCTCAAGGTACTGTCCAATAGATTAGTTGGGAAACTGTAAATGTGTTAAAATTTATTATAGTAGAGTGTATATCTTGCTGGGTAATGCGAGCTCTGCCGTCTAGCGAGAGTGTGAATAGTGTGTAACTGTATCATAGCGCATGGTACCATAACCATGTATTATAATCACTGATACTGTAAATAATCACTAATAACTGTCGTTTATGTTGTATGTTTAACACCATAACTACTATTAACTGACCTGTAACTTTAAAATTGTATTCTAACCAATGCTAACCGTACTATAACTACTGTTTGTAAAGACGATGTTACTAGGGTGTGTTATAGATGGGTAATTTAAATACTGAGAATTATAGCATGGGTAATTGTATAATTTCGCCAAAAAAGGTACAGTAATAGTTATTTAGTGTGTGGTGTAACAGCTGTGTGTGTACGGGAATTCCCTGTATGATTTGTTGTGTGCGTTTGGCCTAGTAACTGTGCCACGTGGTGCTGTTGCCAAGGGAAACAGGTGTGACTGTTGGAAGTGTGTTTTGTTTTGTTTCTATTGGAGATGACGCTCCATTGTTAAGTATGGGTGCGTTGGATTCAAAGATCGTTGATCCCTTAGATTGCATGTTAAAGAATTTTAAAAAGGGATATAATGTATGTGATTTTGGGGTAAAGATGTCTCCAACACGTTTGACTACTTTATGTAGCAGGGAATGGCCTGCCTTAGTGGTTGCATGGCCTCCACGTGGTAGTCTTGATCCTAATCTAGTGCAGCGTGTACACGTAGCTGTATCTGGTAGGCCGGAACTTTACGACCAGTTTCCATATATTGATTGTTGGAAACAGGCCGTGGATGACTTGCCAAAATGGATCAGGGTGTGCCAAGAGGAGCAATGCCGCCTCCTGTTGGCCAGAACTCGTTTGTCCACCAAGGCCGTGATCACGCCCATTCTGGACACGCCCCCTGAGTCAGAGATTCCTTTACCGCCCCCTTACTCCTCCTCTACAGGAAGAGGAAGAGGAGGTGCGGCTAGTAATGCCACTCCCCTTGCCCCATTGTCTCCTCCTACCCCATCCTCTAGCTCAGAGCCCAGCCCACTTGTTCTAAACCCTCCCCTTCCGGTACCTACCCCCACTAACTCCACCTATCCGGATTTGACGTCATTTCTGGTTCCTGGTCAGGCTCCTCCCAGCCCGGCCCGGAATATTCTGCTTACCAACCTCCCCTTCAGTAAAGAAAAAGCGTCCCCCTCCCCTCGTCTTACTACCCCTCGACCGGAACCCATAACTGACCTTCCTCAACGAAGCCCCATACTAACCCGACAATTGACCGGTACCCTCCAACCCCGACATTATCAAATGCCTCTCCGATTGACACCGGGCCCGACACACATTAATGGTGAAGGCCAGTTACAACATGCCGACCCCGTATTTGTTTATGTTCCCTTTACCACTACGGATTTGTTCAACTGGAAAACCCATAACTCCTCTTACACAG